AACTACAAAAGCTAAGTAGTCTGACGTTGCATTGTTATTTCTACCTTACTCCGTTCGTTGTTTTGGAACAGTGATATTGATGTTAACAGTCTACAAGTGACGACTTAAAACGTTATTTACTTGTATTTTCAGATTATGTACTGATTATGTTGTTTAGGGCGTTAACCATGGTTATTTGTGTTTAAATGATAATGTCATTGTTGCATTAATTATTTAAGGTCAAATATTGTGATTTACATTACAAATATTATTTGAGATTATTCTATATTAAATATTTTGTTGACCACATATACTTGTGAAGTGCGTGCAAGTTTTACAGGTGTGTGTGTTCTATCCCAAAGTTCTACCCTGGCATTACTGTGTATGATCATATATCAATACCAATATATCTATACATTATTTATATTGTGTATTTTGAGATAAATAACACAACCGTGTAATTTACCTTGTGACAACCACCATCAGTTAAATTTCATTAAAATCATCAAATTTTGAAAAGAATATGCAACATTTTACGTCTTACCTCTTGTACCAAATTTGAAAAAAAAAATCTGAGAAAATGTACGCGAGATATATGCATAACTAAAATTATTTTATTCTGAAGCACCATAGATTACAGCAGAAGTATGAATAATAATACGCAACATACGACTGTATATGTACACCGGGTGTTTCAGAAGACATCACAACAAATTATGCTAATTACTTAACAAATTTCCAGTAACAAAAATAAAGCATTTTATTAAATCACTGACTGCATTAACTCAATTATGACGTAGTAAAGCAACAAGAGAAAATTCACAATTTACTCACCAGTATCTCCTCAGTTTTTTCAGTTCCCACAACAGAACAAATATCCCCAAAATTAGATGCACACACCTACAACAAATTTACATTACAACATTAAGTCTAGGCAGTAGCATTGATGAGTGTCACTTCTGAAGTCGTTACAACAAGTTAAAATTACAATTACATCATTCCCATTAAGATTTTGCAAATTCAAAGAAAGACACAAAATTTATACATGATTAATGCAATAGATCTATACAGGTCATTCTCTTATATCTAAAACAGACATATTTTTTGTCTGTTAGGGTCTGACAACTGGCATCTAGAGGTCAATAGATTTGTTGCCAAATGTCATGTAATGTGATCTTATATCATTACAAATTTTCAGCTTATTTAGATACAAAATATTTTGTTTTCCAAATTCATTAAATATCTCCTTCACAGACTGCTGTGTACAGAAGACATGCACCCAAGAAAAAAATTTAAAAACTTATATTGAACTTAGTTTGTGTCAGAGTGAATTAATTCATTATGAGCTGTATTAAAATTCTGTTCAGAATTGATGTGTTACAATTTTAGGGGGTGGGGTAAAAATATATTCATTTGGCTTTTCTGAGACAATTTATAACTTGTTAAACATATAATGCGATGTGTATTTGTAAACAATTATTACCTGTCCCTGTACCAACTTTGACAAAACTGGATGACACACATCTGA